TCCAGTTCGAGGAACAGAAAAAAAAATTAAGAAAAATGAACAGAGCCTAAGATAATAGAGCCAACAAGCATAACAGCATATATATAATGGGAGTCTCAGGGGGAGAGAAGAAAAAGAAAGCATTAAAAAGAATTATTTGAAGAAAACTTCCCAAATCTGATGAAAAATATTAACCTACAAATCCATGAAACTTCAGAAACTCCAAGTTCTCAAAGATATGTATACCCAGACATATTATAATCAAACTATAAAAAAAACAAAAACAAAAACGGGAGAATCTTGAAAGCAGCAAGAGAGAAGTGACTCATCACATACAAGGGGTCCTCAATAACATTAACAGCTGACTTCTCTACAGAAACTATGGAGGCCAGAAGCAGTGAGGACATAGTCAAGGTGCTGAATGGGAAAAAACTGCCAACCAATTTTACAGTCAGCAAACTAATCTTCAAAAGGGTAGGGAAAAAATTCAGACATTCCCAGATAAACATTACTAGCAGAACTGTCCTACAAAGAAATGCCAAAGGGAGTCCTTTAGGCTGAAAGGACACTAGATAGTAATTCGAACCCACACAAAGCCAGACAGAACTGATAATGGTAATTATAAAAGACATAAATGTATTTATTTATAAATTTTCCCCTCAATTTAAAAGTGCATGAAGCAATAATTGATGGGCACCTAACTTATAATGATATAATTTTTTGTAACAGCAGGAGGGGAGGAATGAAGTGTAGAACAACGTTTTTATTGAAATTATTGAACTAGATGAAATAGATCAGCTCAATCTCTTCTAATAAAAGTTCTCTACATTTTAAATTGTCTTTTTTTTTCATTTGTAATTTTGATGTCATATCTAAGAAGACAAAGGTCACAATATTTACTTCCACGAGTTTTATAGTTTTGCCTACATTTTGGCTCATGATCCATTTTTAGTTAACTTTTGCGCATGTAGTGTGAGGAAGACTTTTTTTCACTTTTCTTTTCCCATCCGTGCTTCAGATTTTGTAATCTTTCTCCATCTGTCTTCAGGTTTGCTGATTCTTCTGCCGGCTCAAATGTACTGTTGAGCCTCCCTAGCAAAAGTTCCACTTTGGTTATTGAAAATTCCAACTCCAGAATTTTCATTCCGTTCTTACTTCCCATCTTTTTATTTTCATTTGATGAGTCACTGTCAGCATACTTTCTTTTAATTCTTTAAACTTGGGTTTCCTTTAGGTCTTTGAACCCATTTACATTTGCTGCATAACACTTATCCTGTATCTGGTACCCCCTGAAGGAAGTTTCTATTGCCCGCTTTTGCCCATGTCACACTTTCCTGTTTCTTTGAACATCTCATAACTTTGTGTTGAAATCAGGACATTTTAGGTAATATATTGTAGGATCTCTCCATGGTGGTTCTCCTGTCCACCCTGGGCTTATTTTTATTTAGTGACTTGGCTGGACTAATTCATGAAGTCTGTGCCTCTGATGTCACTGTTCAATTTGTTTCTCCCCCATTTTTATCTTCAAGTCTGACTTTCTAGGGGTTGCTTCTGAATCAGTATCATTTAATCATTAATCACTAATTAATAAGAGGTTGTGTTTAAGCCCCCTGAATTAGAGAGATTTACACTGTGTGGGGCTTTGCATTTTTTCACTATTTAGGGAGTTTCCAAGTTTTGTCCTACATTCTGTCAGCTATTTCTAAGAAAGACATTCCCTCTCTGGTTGCTCCTATGTGGCTATAGCCTTGAACCCACACACACTATTTCTGATCACCAGGGATGTCTTTAGTTTTACCCACTCTCTTGGTCTCCCTGATCTTGTCTTTAAGCTTTCTGGCTATATTTATTGGTATCATCAGCAATTGTGAGCCTCTATTTATTGGTAGCTGATTGTCCTATAGTTTTCAACAATATTCAGGGGTACAAACTGCTCCAGTCTGTTCCAGGTGAAGTTAGGTCCCTAGTAACGGGAAGTGTGCTGTCAAGTCTTTGCAGCTCACTCAAACCTTCCTTTAAACAGAACCTCTTTGCCTTTGTGCTATGGAGCATTGGGGTGGGGTGTGGGGGGTAGGGTATAGTTTGGGAACCCACCTCTTATTGAATGTCTCCCAGATCCTCCCTGCAGAGCAGCTGTGTCAGGGGTTAGAGGAGGGCATAGGGGAGAATCCTTTATCACCTCCCAGTATGGATCTTCTATAGCCCAGAAACAGGGAGGATAGAATCTGCTAACGTTCAACCAGCTGCAGAATGTACGCAGAACAGCTCTTCTGTCCCCAGAAAGCTGGGACAGATTTAAGCTGCCATTTGCATTCCAAGCCCACCAGAGCAGGTCTCTTGCAACATGGTTGTGTGGGAAAGCAGACCTGCACTGTAAGAGTAGCTGTCCTGTCAGATTCTCCTTACACTGCAGGATTTGGGAGTCATACAATGGCTAACCAGCAGCCACCTCCCACTTGATATAAGCCTTCTGTGGAACACCTGTGTGGTACATGGGATCTACAAATAGGGATATATTTAATCTTACACCCAAACTGTGTATCACCCAGTTAGGTTTTGTGGTGTTTCCTTTGGCAGCTTTACATAACTTTTAAATATATTATTTTGTGGCTCTTAATACAAATGGGTCTTTTTTTTATTGTTTGCCAATTGATTACTATTAAGTGTTCAGGAAAGCTAATTTTCAGTGTACTTCTTTGGATTTTCAAAATACTGAAATCAAGTCATTTGCAAATAGTGTTTTGATTTCTATCCAAGTTTTTCATTTTGTTTTCCTTTTTACGTTAGCAATAACTTATGAAGTAACTGATGACAGCAGGCACCTTAACTGAAAGAAGCAGTTTCAGTCACAACCCCAAACGTTACTTTCACTTTTCGTTAAAGGACTCTCAAGTATTAGGGAAGAACTATTCTAACATATTAAAAATGACTTTACTAGGAATGAGTATTTTTTTGGTAAGTACATTCTTAACATTGACTAAAATTACAATTTTTGAAATTGATGTACCTAATACAGTATTTTTCCTCACTATTTACTCAAACCTTTCCACTATCACAATAATGGTATGTAGTTTTTAAAGGAAGATTTTTAAATTGGGGGCACTTAACAGAAGTTCAAAAGATAGAAAAATAATAATTCAAAGACAGCTTTGTTAAACACCTCTTCCAAGATACTGACTACTTTTGAATTATCCAATTAAAAGCATACTTAAAATCAATGAGCAACAAAAATCAACCAAACTGATCCTATTTCAACTCTGCGTTACAGGGAGATTTTTCTGCTACTGCTACGTTCTTAAAGAGCAACAAATAAAATGTCCTGATCATTCCTCCAGCAAGTTTCACTAGATAAGATCCTAAATGGAGTCAAGGCACTGTGCTGAAAACAAGAATCCTAACAAATGGCTATGTAATGATAAGGGGACATATCCCAAGTTAAATTTAAAAATTAATGAAAAACATCAGTAAATTAGCTGCATGGAATTAATATTGTTTTCACCTCACCTCCATTTTCCCCAGTCCCAAGAACTTTTACTACTTTTCTTAACAACTATTTCAAATCACTTACTAACTAGTATCTATTTCTCATCTAACCTGAACAGAAATTCCCACAGCACCTGTTTCACTTTTAATCCCTCCATAAGATGCATTTGCACACAAATGACCCATCATTATTTACCCACTAATCCTTTTCGTTACATTTACACTCTCTTTGCTTTTAAACACATCTACACTGGTAACTTATCAGCATATTTTAGTTTTTCTACTTCGTAAGTTTTATATAGCTGGTATGTATCACAAAAGAAAAAAAAAAAACGGCATCAAACTTGTTAACTTAAAAAAATCCCGTTCTAAGAGCAGACTTTGAGAGAACTAAACCAAGTGTTAGTAAACAAGGTGGTGGGCCAAATTCAGCCCATGGCTCATTTCTTAAAATGAAGTTTTATTAAACCATAGGCATACTCATTGATTTATGTACTGTTTAGGGCTACTTCTGCATTATAGAATCAAGACATTATGACAGAGACTAAATGGCCTAGAGAGCCCAAGTTATTTACTAACTTAACTTACCCTTTACTGATAAACTTTGCTGACCCCACAACAAAATCAGTTTTTCATTAAAAAATATTATATACACACACACACACAAATATGTATTTATATATATATATATATATATATGTATAAACATTTCAATCTACTGAGTGCTTAGTAAGATAGAAAGGTAAACTTTTAAAAAATTAAACTATTTTTTTAACTGAAAGCCAAATAGAGGTCCATTTCCAACGGAGATGGACAAATAGGAAAAAATGAAAACACATTCCTGATAAAGCAGCTGGATTGCAAAAATAAAACTATTCCAGTTGTAGTAACAACCTCAAACTACTGGATATTCACATTTTAGAGAACCATCTTTAGTTCAGTTTCAGCCAGGAGGGGGGAAAAAAAAGGATGGAGGGTTTTGGCTCTGGATTTTTCACTCTAGCAATAAAGAGGCCTCAAGCAGGTTTGCCTTCTTTAGAATAACCTAATGAATCAGAAAAGGTACTAAGCAAAGTACCTGGGACATGAAGCTTTTAAAAATGGCTTTTAAAACCTTAAGGCAAAAAATATGTATTAAAACATTAAATCTATTTTTACTGGTACGGCTATTCTGAAATGTATTTTTATAATGCTGCAAACTTTGGCAAGATTGTTGCTTCTCTCTCTTTTCATGGAAGGCAAGGAATTATAATAAATCTATCGTTAGCAGAGCATTTCAATTTTATTGCTGTTAGGGTACTAAAGAGCATTAGCCTCTCTATAACTTTCCTTAGCAGCATAACTACAATAACCTCATAATAAATGTTACCCTTCTCAAACAAAATTTCAAAATTTCGCCTATGATTTTGGGGAGAAAAACCCACACTTTATTTTACACAGTTCCCTAGCATTTAAGGAAAAAAAAAAGTCTTTGATATATAAATATTTCCCATTAGAATAAAATCCCCTTTTGATTTTAGTACAGTAAAAAAATTGTGTAAACACAAACTTAAGATAAATTTAATTGATGAAAATATTCATTACAGAAATTAACATTGCTTACCATTCTTTAAACACCATATACATTATTAATATATACTGTATATTTCCAATCAACTCCATTCTTAGGCTCAATTTAAGAAACACAATTGTAACAGGTTTTATACAAAAAATACTTCACTAGGAAAGTAGACAAACTGCACAAAAAAAGTACATGTGTATAATGTGCATAGCAAGATAGCTTGAAGCATCTATGTATGGCTTTCTTTAAAATAAAACTTTTGGGGAAATGGGCCCATTTGGGACCTACTGTTACAGTTGACATATGTAAACTGTTTCACATCTTTTAGGCACTTGCTAACAATAGTGTTCAATCCCTGAAAAATGAATTTACCCAAAAAAAAAAAAAATCTACATCTAAAATAAAAACCAAGAAAATAACATGGGTAAAGTCTTACATATTCCTTTTAAATTAAACAACCAGTTTTATTAGTGCATGCACAGAACTAAATTGAAAGAAAATAAACTTTTTATGTCAAAAATCTTCTGTGCAAAATTTACATAACAAACTGAAAGGTACAAAAATATGTACAGGTTTAAATTCTTTCTTATATACAGAAAAGAAGCCCTGAAGTTTTCAATTAATGAAAATGTTTTAACACTTATAGTAACAATATAACAAAAATTATACAGTTATTTGTAATATAAGAACTCCATTATTCAAGAATCCAACAAAATTTGATCCAAACTTACATGGTGAAGTTTCAGTCGATGATTCTGTTGTTGTCCTGAAAATATCCATTTTAAAACTCTACCTGCTGGGTATATCCCCTAGGAATCTGTCCTGAAGTTTTATGTCCTGCCACTGAGTCCACTATTAATGCTTCTTCATTTCAACTGCCAACAATCAGTAAAATAATCTGCTTTGGGTTGTCAGGGAGACCAAAAAGGTGCTAACAAAAATGGTTTGTCCCATTGTGTACATACATGTTCAGACACCTAAAGTAATTAAAGAGCAAAAATCTGATTTGCTTTGCTAATCTTGCTTCAAAATATTGTTTCTGTAGAGTGATTCTTAATTTTCAAGAAAAGCCATTCCCTTGGAAGTGCTTCTATGTTCCACTTTTTAAATGGATGAAAACCAAGATAAAAATTGGCCATTTGGTTTATGGGGGACAAACAATTTAAATCAAATAAGCATAGTTCTGTGCAAGAGAATCACTGGAGATTATCATCAAATCCAGAAAAATGTTCAAGTTCTTTAATCAGACTTTAAACTGGACCAAGAGAGTTTAAATCTTTGGAGGCTGCCCATCTACTGTAATGCCTGACACAGCCATTTAGAAAAAGAAAATCACCTTGGGAAGGTATTCCAATTCCTGATTTGGGACACAGCGTAGAGAAAAGAGATTTACTTGTGAAAAACTCTGTTCAAGCATTATGTGGTGTATCTGTAGTTAGTTAAATGTGCTCTCAGAGGAGCCCAATACCCTTCAAAAAGAACTATATTTAGCAGATGTAAAGTTAAGTTCTTTACTCAAACTCTTGGTGGGTCTTCAAAAATGAGGAGAAACTCCTTCAGCTCCGTGGTGAAAGAGCCTCCTCCATCTTCAGAGAAAGCTACACTTAACAGATTCATAAGGCTGGTGCAAGGAGAGAGGGGATGCAGCTGTCAGCCATGACCCTCTACTAAGAGTCACTATATAACTAAATTGGGAAAACTGTTTTATCAAAATTTTCTTTAGCCCTAACTTCTCAAGAACACATTTTAAAAAATTAAATCAAGGTACATCTGTGCTGCAATTAGTTTCTTGCTAAACTTATGTGTGCAGTGATAGCATTTTCAAATATCACACATGAAACTTTTTTAGTCTCCCATGGAAATTCAGCCAACTTTCAGATGCTCAATTTTAGGTACTATACTGAAGTAGAAAACGTCTGCCTTAAGGTAATTCAACCCATGTTTTCTTCTAAGATAATTTTACTTTTCTTTTCCTTGGTAACTACAGTAAATTATTCTAACATATTCCAGTCACGAGTGGCTTCCATTAGATGTCTCTGCCCATGACCAGCCCAAGCATCCTGATTGTCAAATACTCTACCACAAAACCAACAGTTAAATTTAGCTTTCAGAACATTTTCAGAGGTAGTCTTCACGATCTGATAATTGTTTTTGCTTGTCTTTTTGAGTGTTAATTTTAGCACAAATCTTTCTTTCACAGAACTAACAGGTTTCAATGTTTTATGTCTTTTGGAAAAATCACCATAAATTGTTTTCGAGGCATTATCACAAACTGGCTTCAGTAAAGCACTGATAGTTCTTTTCGACAATGAAACCTTAAGTACACGTCCATTAAATTTAGCAATAGTTTTCATCACACTTACTACTTCTGGTGCATCTGCATCAGGATGATTCAAAACTACAACTGGTTGGTTTCTCCTAGGACATTTCACAAGCTGTTTGGAACTAAAGGGGAAAAGCCGCAAAGTTCTGACTGAATCTCTTGAAAGCCTTGGTCTGCTAAAATCAAATGATTCACGGGCATCTTCAGGTTTAGACTTTTCTTTACACTTTCTATGTAATGTTGCTTTTTTTCTTGGAGGTTCTTCATAACTATTCCTACACTTTCGTTTACAGTTTCTGTTTCTAGATACAAAGGCAGTTTCAGAATCTTTACTTCTTGCATGAGTTTTTACTCTTGAAAAATTTTTTTTCAAAGTCTTTTTTCTATTGAAGCTTCTCTCGATTGTACAATTTGTTTTACACCTTAATACCCTGGTATCTGAACGGTCAGTGAAACATAATGGTTCCTCAGAAGATTCTGGGCATGTTGCAGTAGAAGTTATCACAATTTCATTTGCTGGCATCATATCATCTAGTAAGAAGGGTAAGGCATCTCTAGAAGATTCTGGCTCTCTCTGCTCTCCTCCTGTAGTCTGATCAGATGGTACCTTGTCTTTCTGCAATGAAGATGCAGAGGTGCTTACAGACAGATTGTTAGCAGCAGTCACATTTAAAACAGGGTTAAAAATTTTCAGCAATATTTTCTGTGGTGTTCCTTCAGGTTTCTTTGGCTGTATGTTTTGATAATATGTACTATTTTGGACTAATTTAGGCTTAAGCAGCTCAGTCTTATTTGGCATCACACACTTTAAAAAAACAGCTTGTTTGCCATCAGGCAAGAGGGTATAAAGAGGTGGTTTTGGAAAAATCTCATTCTGCTGTTTTACTGAGTCCAAGATATTCAACTTGGTGCCCTGATGCTCAGGTACTGTATTAGGCGTAGGAACAGCTTTCGCTGAAGAATTTGCTGATGTTTTGATGATGTAAGGGCCTTTTAATGGCAAAGTATTTTCTGAGCTACTTTTCATGCTCAAACAACTGCCAATGCTGGAACAAAGTGCAGGTGTCAGACAATTACTGTTTCGTTCTACCTTTAAAAAAGGTATTCTGCAAGGCTCCTTAGCTGTAGTTCCACAAGCCTGAGCACTCTCAGTTTTGACAGTGGAAACACCTTCAAGTTTCCCATTATTAAATGTTAAAATCATCCCAGGTTTCTTGTTTAAAAGAAGAGAAGCAGGTACACCTTGTGTATTAACCAATGGAAGTGGCCTTCCTGAAACAACATGTAATCCAGGCTTGTTAGCAATGTGCAATGGTACAAAAAAGCCTTTTGGAGTCTGAACAAATATAGCCTTTTTTGGTTCTGAATTCAGAAGTGGACTCTGCCTATATAAAGAACCTAAATTTTGTGTAGTGGCTCGCAGTTTATCTTTTACGAGCTGCTGTGTTATTATTGCATCCGACTGAGTCTTAAGTAATGTGCCAATACCTGAAATTCTAGGTGTCTTTTCTGAATCTCTCACATCTTGTGATATTGACAGATTTTGTTTTTCTTTTCCACTACATTTTAAATTCAGATCATTGGTAGGCACATTAATCCCTATACTACCAGATGGAATAGAGAAAATGCCTTGTACTTTGAAATCTTTTGAAGATTCAACTATTTTGCCTTCTCCCTCAAGTTTCTGAAATGACTGGTCACAATGAAGTGGCAGGCCTTTATCTGGGGTGTTACTATTACTAGAGTCTTGTTTTACCTCAGATTTTGTTTTTAATCCATCCTGAAGTAACTGGTTTACTTCAGGCGGCAAAAATTCTGATGCCTGTTGACTCTGGAGAGAGAAAACAGAGGTGATTCTAGGCATCATAGGTGACTCAACATTAGAAATGTTATCCCACTTAGATTTTTCAGTCAAGCTCTCTAAATTTTGATTTTCATTAGTGTATAAGTTCTGTCCGTCGCTGTTTTGTCCTTTTTCTAAAACACACTGTTCTTCAATTTCAGCTTGCATTTTTAAAGTTCCATCTTTAGTATTCAAAAGGCTAATAGATGCTAACATGCTATCTGGATTTGAGCTCTCTTTCCTCACTAGTGACAAAACTGATTCACTTATTGGTTGTTGAACAACTGTCTTGCTTGATGAAGGTTCTTTTTGAGAGTTTTCACACATTCCTGTTCCTGAAAGCCTATGCCGTTTACTGGAATTATTTACTTTTGAGTAATTATGAAAGGGCAATGATCCTTGGTTGGAAGATTCAACAGGTAACTCAGAGTTGACATAATTAATGCAATAGTTATGCATATCCCCACTGTTAGATGCATTTTGTTTGGTAGTAGAGTTGACTTTATCTGGACTTCTAATGGCAGCACCTGATATCTCAGGGTGACTCTGAGTAATATAACTTCCCCACAGGTCAATATTATCTTTTGTTTCAGCTTTTGTGGTCAAATTCACTGATGCCGAAACCAATTCTGATGCTGACAAAGATGACACATTTTTTTCATCATCCATTGTTTGAAGCATATTACTTGTTTGAGATAGCAAAGCCATTTCTTTTTCTGATGTTACTTTCCCTGAAAGTATAGGAGATGAACATGAAAATGGGGTAGTTGCTTTCATGTAAACTGTGTCACTTAATTCAGTTGTTACTCCTGCTAAAAATCCAGTAGTGTCCAAAGTCCGGGGCTGCAAATTGGCAGTACTGTCCTTTGCAGCATCTGACTGTGAGCCTGGTGAATATAAATTCTGTTTATTGGTAGGTAACAATTTTATTACAATATGTTGTTTTCCATCCACCATCTTAAAGCCCATAAAATCAGCACTGTAGTTAGCAGGAATTGTTATTCTATTATTTTTCACCATTAACACTGTAGGTCCTTGTACAGCAGTCTTCAAGAAACCTAGAGTAGAATTTGATCCCTCTTCAACTCTATTACATTGCCCAGTGGACAGAAGAGTTGGCTTTTCTGACTCTGACTCAGCAGGTTTATCATTATTCTCACAATGTGGTCTTTCATCCTTTTCTTCATTTAAATGCTCTTGAACAAGATGGCTCTGGTCTTCAGATTTAGCCTGTGTTTTGCTCACTTTCTTGAGCACTTGAGTGTTTTTTTCTATACTTCTGTCACTTCCGTTGTTGATCTTTTTGCGTTTCCAGAACGTCTTCCTTGATGCATCTATTCTGTATCTTTTCAGTATCAGCTTAAGTCCTGCTGAAGTCTTTGCCATCCTCTTTTCATATTTGTCTTTTTCCAGTTTTTCTTTCGCATATAAGTGTTCTTTGTGCAAAGTTATAACATGTCTTACCAGGTGCTCTCTCCTAGTAGCACCATAGCTACAATATTGACAAGTGAAGGGAAATGTACCAGAATGAACATGAAGGTGCTTCTGAAGCTCTCCTTTGGTAAAACATACATGATGGCACTTACCACATTTATAACGGATTTCATTATGTCTATGAATGTGCTGAACAAATGTGCCAACATCCTGGGTGGAGAATCTGCACTTTTCACATTGAAAACTACCATTTACACAATGTGTGGATGCAAAATGCTTTGTCAAGTCTAATAAAGTATATACACTCTCATTGTTACAAATGTCACATTTTACTAAAGTGCTTCTATGTGTCCGTCTGTGTTGTTTAAATATCTGGAAGTCATTTGCTGAAAAACTGCACATTTCACAAGGATAGGAAGGTAATTCACCATGGTGCCACATTTGAAAGTGTTTCTGCAAATCATTTGGACTATATCGAGTGCTATCTCGGCATTTTAAACAGTTGAAATTGAGTATTTTTGCAGACATTTTTAAACCCTCTTCTTCAACTCTCTCAGACTTATGGAGCAACATACAATCCTCTACACAGCTTACAGTCTTTACACCGATAGATTTTCTCGCAGTCTGTGGTTGACGCTGAAATAATTTTTTGTATCTGTCAACTTCATGTTTCAAAAAGACTTCATTTGGAATATGTATCTTCGGCAAATCAATTTTCACATTTTTGAGTTCATAATGAAAACTACTTTCTGCAATTTTTGGCCTAGGTACTGATCTGATAGTATCCACTATCTCATTTTTCACATCGTAATTTTTTAAAGTAGTTTGTTTTTCATCAAAAAATAACGGTTTCTGTTCAGATGGCATGATTTTACAAAAAAATCCCAACTTCTTTTTTCTCTAAAAACTGAAGTTACTTGTAATTTAAACAGGAAACAATACTGTGCCAAGACATCTTCAAAATACCAGAATTTTTTCCACATTAACTCACCTAAAATCAAACAAAGAATTGAATTTTCGTAAGTATCAGTAAATTTCATATTTTAAAGTTCATTTTGATACAAAATAGGAAATGCTGATCAAACACATACATAAAAGATATAAAAGACCTGTTAAGTATTTTAAGAATAGCTTACCAAGAAGTAATAGCTTGAAGTAGAAATAACACTAATCTGCAAGTCGGGAAATACAAGTTTTACTTCTGTCTCTGCTCTGTGACACTGGGCAAGCTTCAAGTTCTTTGAACCTCAGTTTTGTCATCTAAAGAAAACCACAACTGGATAAGCACCCTCAAGCTCTAGATTTTTATATTAAGTTGGTATGACAATATTTAAGCAAGATTTTAAAATATCTTAATGAGAACCATAAAAATTTAAGTTCCAATTACACATGTGTCTCCAGTTACACACATGAACTATTATAAACTCTCTCGCCTCCTTAGCTGACCCTCTGGCTACTACCTTGTGAGAAACTCAACAGGCTTCTTCTTCAGATTCTCTATTTCCTTAGTGCTTCAGAGATAATTTAGATCTAAGATGTTTCATTTATCTAACAACAGTGACAGAAGACATTATCTGCTCTTTCAAGTTATCATTACTAACTGGTTAAAAAAAAAAAAAAGAAAGAAAAAGAAAAGAAAAGGAATAGCACATCTTGCTGGGATACTATTAAAGTACTAAAATCTTTTTGGTTCCCAACCATTTTGGCTTGTCCCTAGAACTCAGGCAGAAGGCAGCAAGGAAAGCTCCTGGCATATGAGAACGTACCCATTACTACTTGCTTCCATTAATTCCAACACTTACTGGTTTGTGTTACTCTAGACAAGTCTCAATCTCTGTCTTCGTTTCTTCATCTATAAGGTGAAAAAAAAAATTAGTACCTTCTCTATATTTCACAGGGTTATTGTAAAGATTAAATGAGAAAACATATGAACAATATTCTGTAAAGCGCTATATAAATTGTAGTTATCATTACTGTATGTGATTACCATGAAATGACACATTATCGGTTAAACTACAAAATAAAAAATAGGGTAAGTAATAAGATGTGAAAATATATTGCTGAGACTGGAATCTGAGTATAAAAGTTCAGAAATATCAAAATGTGTATTAGAGGAATTACCTTTTCTTACTTTTGTGATCTTAAATATGTATGTACGAATAATAGACAAAATCATGTAAGCTAAAGAAAATAAAGTATAAATCACGCTGAGCTTCATCTGTCACGTATAGTCAAAGGTCTCAGCTTTAAATTTCAATTAATCTCGGGGCACCTGGCTGGCTCAGCTGGTAAAGCATGCAACTCTTGATCTTGGGTTTTGAGTTCTAGCCCCACGTTGGGCAGAGATTATGTAAATAAATAAAAACATGAAAAAAAAAATTCCAATGAATCTAAGTAACTAGATACTGTTTCAGAAATCCTTTATTAAAGGAATACAATTAAAAGTTAAATTACATATTAAGAGATTCTTTTAATATCTCTAACACTCAGTAATTCTGGTTGCGTCTAAAAAACACATTCTTTGATAAGTCTTTAAATACACACACACACACACATATCCACACATATGCTAAACTGATAATGAACTCATTAACAGGGTACCAGTTTACTGAATATATTTTTAGTAGTAAAAAATCACAATTTCATTATTCAGTGCCATACACTGTGCTCTGACTCATACCATTTTCTCAGAGTTCCTCTACAAAGGGTGGTACAATGCTCAGGAACTGCTCAAAATATGGAATACTTCACAAATTTGCGTGTCATTCTTTGCACAGGGCCATGTTAATCTTCTCTGTATTATTCCAATTTTAGTATATGTGCTGCCAAAGCATGCACTGGCTTTACACACTATGTCTAATTCAGTAAAATATTAAAATTTTTACTTAAAATGTTTTACTCCAATTACTTAAAGCATAATATAAATACTTTTTCTTCAGAAGTAAGGAAAACTAAATAAATGGCTAGAATAAAGTTCAGTGACAGCTGCTGCTGGACACTCCATACCAACTGAGAAGACCCCCTAGAGAGCGTCACATTCTCAACAGTGACAAGCATCATAATCACCAATGGAGACTTCACCATACCAGAATCTGAGGGTAAGGTTCAAAGAGGTGAAACTTTTAAGCACACCTGTAACGGTTCTCCACTCGCCTGAATACTCTATTGTGGTCGTTCTGGATTATCCATACTCAAGCTTTTCTACTATACACATGATCAAGAAACTATATCATGGGTTTTCTTACAAAAGGGAAATTGCTTCTTGTAGTAATATTACATGTATTCAAAAATAAATTTCTAATGCTAGAAACAGACTGATAATATTTCTAAATATCAACTCCATTTCAAAATATCTACACAATTTAAAATTTTTCTTGTAAGAAAACACCAAAGTCTAACAACCAGTGTTAAAAAAGGATTTTAAATAACTCGATCAACTAACACTTACTAATAAATGAATGCCTACTATGAATGTGAGGCATTTTGACGGGTGCTGTGGAAAGATTAAAAAACATGGTCCCCACCCTATTGCAGCTTACAATGTGAAGGAAGAGAGGCAGGACATACACATTAATATACTGCTTATTCAGAGATGACCATTCAGCAACCTCACCCTTCCAGGACATGAAGAACAGAAAACAATTAAGTAGAACACATGGCAGCCAAAACAGAGGTCACAAAGTTCACCCATTAAAGTGCATGTTCTTGGGACGCCTGGGTGGCTCAGTGGGTTAAAGCCTCTGCCTTCGGCTCAGGTCATGATCCCAGGGTTCTGGGATCGAGCCCTGCATTGGGCTCTCTGCTCAGCAGGGAGCCTGCTTCCTCCTCTCTCTCTCTCTGCCTGCCTCTCTGCCTACTTGTGATCTCTGTCAAATAAACAAATAAAATCTATAAAAAAAATAAAATAAAATAAAAAAAATAAAGTGCATGTCCTTTACACACAGGCAAAACACTGTTAATAAAAGGGACCTTATCAAGTAATCCACTTAGCTTTTACTTAAGCTTGGTAATGCAAAATAATTAATATTGAACATCAGTATTTTTTACATTGAATGAATGGCATGTACAATAATACAGTATTAGGGGAGCTTGTGTATTATAAGTAGTTTGGAGTTTGTTATTCACCCTCAAATTTTGAATTTGGAGAACCTATTTTTGTCTTCAACTATGTTCAACCTGCACTATGTGGAAGCAATCAATGATGACATCTGGCAGCAAATTATACTAGGGTCGCCACCTATGGGCAAAAATATTTGTGTGTCATGAATTTCTCAGATAATATAAAAAAAGGAAAGAGGAATTTTACTCTAATTTTAATCTTTCAAGCTACTAGCTAATGCTCTTTTCACTATAGTTCAATCTTTACCCTCACCAACAAGGATTACTGATTTTAAATCTCCATTTAAACTACTGCCCTCTCTCTATATTTTTACCTCCTAAGTCTTAACCAACATCTCCTCAAGCCTTGAAAAAATACTACTTGTAGTAACAGTAATACTACAAGTATGAAGTATTAATAGTAATACAAGTACGCGAGCCCTTTCAAGCAAACCTGGAGAACTGCCTGCATCAAGATGGCAACTTAAGCCATCTGGATTCCATCTTCTTCCAACTGCCCAATGAAACACAAACCAAAAAATGACGTCCTACAAAATGACTAGAAATTAGAAAAACATTCCATACACACACTGCAAGGTGTTTGGTAAGAAACAGTCCAGAGAGAGAAGAGTGAAAACAAATGCAAACCTACTGCCAAGCACCACTTTTAAAGAGGAATTTGACCAAGGGACATTTATTTAATAAGCATTTAAAATAAGCATCTCTTATGCCCTTCCTTAGTAAGAAAGCAAAGGACATAAATCTGCCCACTCCCTCCCTGAACATACCTTGAGATTCTAGAAAGTGAGGACTTGAGCGGAAGATCATGTGGTACCCTTTGAGGAGATAGAAAGCTTGGGCTGAGGTATGGGAAGGAAGAGAATGAATCCAGAGTTCTGAGCTGGGTCCAGGGACTGAGTTGGGACTCGTTAGCACCAGCTGTTGGGAAAAATATAAAGAGGAAATTATTTCTGAACAAAGATAAATCTTCCTATATTCATGCCTATCTTCTGTTTAACAGTTCTGTCCTTTGTCCACATTAAGTAAATTATCTCTAAGTTGTCAGGGAAAAAGTACATTAACTCCCCCATCCCTTTAACTAAAAAACTGAAAAAATCTTGGTTCATTCTTTAAGAATTCATCTCAACTACCAAGGCCATCAAAAGTTAAGCTGGCAGAAACATCACTAGCTGCAGCAGCTCAACAAAGAGAAAATAACCTGAACAGAGAAACCCTTCCCATTCCCCCATCCAACAATGAAAAACAGTAACTACACAAAAGTTTCCACTACCAGAAAAAGGAGGAAGCTTAGGGGATAAAAATAAAATACTAGTTGGCGATTTCGGTAAGACCTGAGATAATATACTAAAAAAAAAGAAAACTAAGAACATACTGCCATGAAAGAGAGAACAAAGTAGATGGGAGAGAAATAATGATTTTGAAAACAAGAAAAAAGTAACATTTGAGTTTGGGTTTTTTTTTTAAATCAAAGGCTCCTCAAATGCCAGGCAAGATTATATTAGTTAGAAAAGAACATTAGACTCAATGTTTACAATTTAGCCTCATCCAATTTTTGAGTTTAAATAAAAATGAAATACTACCAAAAAAAAAAAAATGTAGCAAAGTAGAGTTACCTAAAAGGGTATTTTTCAACAGCAATGCCAACTTTAATCAGAAATCAGTATTAATCAGACATTTTCAGGACGCCTGTGTGGTTCAGTCGGTTAAGCATCTGCCTTCGGCTCGGGCCGTGATCCCAGGATCCTGGGATGGAGTCCCACATCAGGCTCCTTGCTCAGCGGAGAGTCTGCTTCTCCCTCTCCCTCTGCCTGCCATTCTCCCCTGCTTGTGCTCTCTCTCTCTGACAATTAAATAAATAAAATCTTAAAAAAAAAAATCAGACATTTTACTCAGAGTGACATTTATAGAGTTCTGAGGAAAACAGAATAACCCAAGAATCCATTCTCTACACAGGAAAATTCAAATGTAAAGGAAAAACACAGTTTTAGATGTATAAAGATTTAGAGACTATACTACATATGTACTCTTCCAGAATAAAGTTTCAAGTAAATACTTTAGCAAAATCAAATTTCAATCAGAAAAGAAGAACTTAAAAAAGGAAAAATGTGTTATGGAAGAAATATCTCTCAACAATAAAATCTATGAAATAGAAATAAAAGTAAATATTTTGTTAATACAGTTAAGAAATTCAGAAAAGACTGGAATAAGAGAACACTTATGACACAACAAATATGTAAGAGGTCCTTAAAAAAAAATTAATGATAGGAAATAGGGGACATGAAAATAGCAACAAATTTCTAGTTGCTGGAAAGCAGATAAATTAGTAAATGACCCTGCAAACACAAGAAAACTTAATCCCAGACAAACTGGGTAATGCTAAGAACTAACCTATTTTAGTTCTGAATCTTCGAAAGGCTTAGGAACTGGCAAGTACCAAGTAACTACGAAAAAGAGAGGAGAAAGCTAAAACAAACAGAAATTTGGAGAAAGCTGCTTGAGTTCTGGTTTGATGCTAAGATTCCCTTCCCCACTCCATAAGAAAGGTTACTGCTATTTCCCCACCAAAGCAAATGCATGCAGGTTTATTCTCTACAGAAAGTACACAGACACTCTTAAACAGGGGATACCAGACACAGCTGAGAGTGGGTACCATACCAAAGCCAGAGGATTAAATGACCATATATGGATGAGACACAAACCCCACCCCAAGCCCACTATTCCCCCTTCTACACTGGCCCCTAGACTAACATAGTCCTACTAAAAATATGGTCCGCTGATGGTCCATGAAACATTCCTCACCAGTTCACGACAACATATGTACAGAAACTGAGAGTTAAGCATTTAAAAACTACTATAGCAACTTTACAGAGTTAAGTTTCTATCTGTTGAATCAAACAATAAAAATGTGGACTTGTATTTTATATGCCTTCATTTTTAAAATTTCATTTTCTGAAATACACAAAATAAAAATCTGTACACAACCAGGAAGAAAGTATATAACTTCCAATTTACTTCTAGAAATGTATCCTAAAGGTAATAAGCAGGTTCAATGAAGCATTGCTTACAGAAATCACAAAATCAAAAATAACAAAATGTCCACCAATAAATAATGATATTTTTGTTCAGTGGAATATTATTCAATTTAAAAAACAATATTATAAACCTGTATTTATTAATTGGAAGATATTCAAGATGCATTTAATAAAAAAAGTGAACAGTAGACATATTAGGAGTTAATCTGTTCAAATACTGATAAGTGTATAGAGAATAGATGAATAAGGAACAAACACATGGGCCCATACAAACACATAGTAAAAAGTCAAGAATAAGGACACCTAGGTGGCTCAGTTGGTTAAGCAACTGCCTTCAGCTCAGGTCATGATCCTGGAGCCCTGGGATCGAGTCCCACAATGGGCTTCCTGCTCAGCGGGGAGTCTGCTTCTCCCTCTGATCCTCCCCCTTCTCATGCTCTCTCTCTCAATTTCTCTTTCAAGTAAATAAAATCTTTTTAAAAAAAGGAGTCAGGAGTACACATTTAAAAGTGTTTATCATGATTACTGGTCATCCTTAGGTGTTTCTTAAAGTGCTGTCCTTGGATCACTACAGCCTCCACACTGGCAAACTTATCACAGCACAAGCAAACAGCTTACATTTGGATGTGATGAAAATGAGCTCCTGCCTCTAGACGATACTGTTATGAAACTTTATCAAAAAATGGCATGAAGCCATGAAAATTCTGAAATTCTCAAGCAGAGCAAGTGAATTGTGGTAAACCAACTGAGTTTTTTCTGAACAAACTGATGTAAATCAGTAAAACTGATGCTAGCAAAAAGCTGAGGAATGTTGACACTAAAGGTGGAAATCAAAACAAAATAGGTATCAGTTAACATTGTACATGGTACCCAGTACATCAGTACTGCATCAGTACACAGATACCCAATCACACCCATGCAGAGAGGACTGTACAACAGCCATAAAGTTACTGGCAAACATTATACTCAGAGAATAAAAAATTATGCTATGTTACTCATGGTATATAAATTCATGCTATTGAGAGGTCATTTTTTTTTTTAATTTAACAGTTAATCTGTGAGCCTTGAGGATACCTTAAAAAGTAAGTAAAGGAAGCTGGCACCACCAGAGTAAGTTATGAATGCAGTGTTCTTACACAAATATAAAGCTGTATTTTATATAGAAAACAAATGGTATTCAACTAATATGTTTCCTGATCTTAGTACATCATTAAAAGAAAAAAATTTAAATAAAAAGAAATTAAAACTTCTTTTAAAAGATAAATAGCAAAAACTATAACACTGATCTAAATTTGACAATTATTTTTTTATCAGGTGTCCCCTGCTTTATGAAAGTTTGCTTTTCAAAAGTTTGCATTATACCACTTCACTTACAAACCTACAGTAGTATGTTTTTTGCTAACCAAAAGAAATCCAAAGAGGGTTTCTGTTTTTACAAAAAAAAAAAAAACAACAAACAAAACAAAACCTATAAACAAACAAAAAAACCAAAATCAGCGTTTAGCCTCTGTTTTGCAGCAATCTGTTACAGAGGCAGCATGCAGCCCAAGCAGTGAGAATGGCACCGCCAAGCTCCTTCCCCAGGAACTACAGGTCAGTATGTCAGCATCAGGAGGCCAGAGCTTTGAACTGTGTCTGTGGGCATCTGTGCCTTATCTCAATTATTCTGGCCTCCCAGTAAGATGTGCCTCCTAACGTATCAGAAAAGCCTAAGACTAAGGTTATTTTGGGGGTCTGAGAATACTCAAAAATTTCCACATGAACTAGTGCTAACTGCTTCTTTGCTTTATACCATTTCAACTTATAAAAGGTTTCCTAAGAATGCTCTATTTTCAGATAGTGGGGGAAATCTTTACAGTATACAAAGAAATGAACAGCAAGGATAATGCTGAACTATTTTTACATCAGCTAAGTATATTACTCTTCAATAAAGTTCTGGTTTTCATCTGACAAAACTTTATTCAGAATTTTCTTTTTTGATGCTATCTTTAATAGTTTTAATACTGACATTATATAGAATATATAAAATGAATTGGAGTAATTTCCACCATTTCATCTCTGGAATAGTTCACTAAACATGAGAAGTGCCTACTCCTTAAAATTACACAACTGTACCAAAATACCATATAGGCCTGATACCTCTTTGGATTTTAGCCCTTACAAAGCTTTGAAAGGTCTTCCATGATTTCTGGGCTCTTGGGGGTTTCTACTGCTTCAATTATTTTTCTCAATTCATATTTTCCCTGAAAATAACCAATTTCCTTCACATTGTCTAAGTATACTCCCTTAAACCTCACTTTTAACAACCTATTGTACAGAAATAAAAGCACAACATATGTAACAGTATCACTTAAACATCCATGCGTAGGAGAATGATTGGTAAATTATGGAACATTTACCCACCTGAAAACATTAAAAACAAAAAGGTTTATGTATTAAATTGACTTAGATTTCGTTGTGAATTTTTGTTTTGTTTTGAAATAAGGAAGTTACAGACGAAAACATGTAATAATACATTTTTCTATTAGGAGGAAAGATCCTCATTTTCATGTCAGGAGCAAAGATACTATAGGGCTATGTTTGTATAGGCATAGACAAATCTACAGAAAGTTACCTCTCAATCTACTGGCAACAAGTTAAATTTCTTAGGGAATGACGGCACAGCAAAGCAAAAGACAAACGTACCCAAACAGCAGGGGGAGAATCATCAACTCTCCTAAGTACTCTGAGTGAAACCAAGAGGACAACGTTACTACCGCCAAGTCTTCACTGAGGCTTGTGTCTACTCTTGCCCTTGAATTCTAAGAAATCTTATATCCTTAAAATAATTCCTCCTTTTACAGCTTACGGTGACTTAAACTACTTTAAGCTAGTTCTATTACTTGTAACCAGACTCTTAAGACATTAAGTTGATAGATCAATGTTGACTGCCTTTAATTCACAAAAAGGTAGGTTTCGTGAGATCGTTTAAATCAAGAGTAGTAGACTTAAACTTGCACAAAAGGAGCAAAGGCTACCTAGAGCAGAAAAAAAGAGTAATATTGGAAGAAAAGCATTTTTCTCCCATGGCACTGTGGGATCTAGATGACAGAGAAAATGTATAATGGTGAGGTTAAGTGAGAACAGACTACAGAGGACAGATTTGAACTTGAAATGAAAGGTAACCAGGAGCCATGGTGAGTTCATGAGCAGAGAGAAGTTATAAAAGCAGTATTTTAGAAATATTATTAGAATGGTACTAGAAAGCAAGATATATTGGAAAGAGTAAAAATAGAAGTCAGAAAATTTAGAAGACTGACAAATCCAAATAAAAAGCGAGGAACCAGAGAACTGGCAATGTTAACACAGGTTAGGAATCGCAGAGAAATTTTAAAAAGATGATTCCCGAAGTGAAATGCCAAGGATAAGAAACAACTGAATAGAGTACAGTAAATCAAAAAGCACCATTCCTAGAGTTTCATTTGCTTTCTATAACAGATTACAAAGCAAAGACATTCTATAGTCTTTAGCTTTACTGAAATGATATAAAAAGAATCTATATGCTTTTTATTAAATTCTTGTTGCTTAAGCATTAAAGAACTAAAAAAACTCTGATTTTAGCTTCCCCTCATTTGTAACTCAGCATGTAGCTCTGTAACCTAACGTCACATCACACAGACCGAAGGACTAACATCATTAGCCATTATTTTGTATAACAATTTCATTCCTTGAGTCATCGAATTCTTTTCTACAGAGATAACTGAATTCAAAACACTCATATGAATATATAACTAGAAATAAAACAAAAGAAGCATGCAGCAAGAAGAGCTTACTGAAAAAAACCTAAGGTTCTGCCTAAAAGGGATCTAGAAGAAAATTATAAAAAAACCTAAAACTTCGTTTAAAAGCAGAACCTTATAGTGCCTTCAAAATAATAATCTTTTCATGACGTGAAACACATTCTGGGCTTTTTTTGGCAGCTGCTTTAAGTTTTTAAAAAGTTTACCTGTAGGGGTAATATTTATCATATTTTACATAAGTGAAAGAATACATTTTGTAGAATTAATAGATATAATAAAAGGCAGCTCTCTCCAAATCATGGCCTAATAAGCAACTTAAACACAGAAAAGAGAAATGAAGAGCTAAATATGCTAATGTAATTAAGGACAGATACAGAGAGATTCAAAATGCTAGGATACATGTGAGCCATGTACCACTCAAGTAGGTTGGTAACACTGGTTGGTATACAATTATGAAGGAGTCCCAAATCAAAAGTTAAAATATAGAAGCAGTTCTGGTTCAGGTTAATCTTCTTTCTTATTACTGACACAATGACTACACATATAATGTACAGTGCCCAAAATCTAAAGATGCTTTCCACTCCCCTACATATACACCTTTATTCACTTTTTTATCCTATTTCCTTTCAC